CCATCCATCCATTCATCCATCCATCCATACACACACAGCCATCCATCCATCCATCATCCATCCATCCATCCGTCCATCTGTCCGTCCATCCATTCATTCATCCATCTCTCCATCTATTCCTCTACCAGTCCCTCTCCAAACATCATCCATCCTCAAACCATCTGTCCATCTCCAGCCATCCGCCTGTCCCCAAACATCTCCATCCATCTGCCCATCCCTCTCCAAGCATCCATCCATCCATCCATCCATCCGTCCCCAAACATCCCCAGCCATCGACCCATCCGTCCTTCCCTCCCTCCTCCCATCCATCCCCAAACGCACCTGTCAGCCAGCCCTCCTCGAACACATCCGTCCCTCCCCAACCAACTCCAGCCAGCCATCCGTCCCCAACATCGCCATCCAGCCACCCATCCCCAACATCACCATCCATCTACCCATCCATCCCCAACACCTCCAACCATCCCTCTCCAAACATCTTGAGCCACCTCCATCCGGCCTCTCTCCGGGTGCAGGTGGGCGAGGCCTTCTCCCAGGCGAACGCCATAACCGAGCTCAACATAATCGCCTCCGCGCCCCCTGAGGAGCACGTCTTCCGGGTGGACAACTTCGACGCCCTGCAGGGCATCCAGAACCAGCTGGAGGAGAAGATCTTCGCCATCGAGGGTACCGGGGGCCGGGGAGGGGGTGTCCGTGGGCTGGCCCCGGGGGGAAGCCGGGACCCTCCCCCCCCCCTCCCCCCGGGCACCCAGTCCTCCAGCAGCAGCTCCTTCCAGCTGGAGATGGCCCAGGAGGGCTTCAGCGCCCTGCTCACCCCCGTGAGTGTCCCCCCACGGCCCCACACCTGCGGGGTGGCCGCAGGGCAGGACTGACCTCTGTCCCCCTGCCGTCGTCCCCCCTCCACCTGGGGATGTGGCCCCTCTTTACTGGTTTAGGAGGGGCCCGTACTGGGAGCGGTGGGTGCCTACGACTGGTCCGGAGGGGTGTTCCTCTACGGGGAGACCAAGGAACCGACCTTCATCAATGTGTCCCAAGCTGCCGGCGATATGAATGATGCCTACTTGGGTAAGAGCTGCCCACCCCAGGGACATCAGTGTCCCAGCAAGCGTCCTGGGGATGTTGGCACCCCTGCGAGGATCCTCACGTGGGGCTGGAGACGTTGGTGTCCCCATGGGGATTCTGGGCACATCAGCGTCCCAGTGAAGGTCTCCACGTGGTGCTGGAGACGTTGGTGCCCCCATGGGGATTCTGGGCACATCAGCGTCCCAGTGAAGGTCTCCACGTGGTGCTGGAGACGTTGGTGCCCCCATGAGGACTCTGGGCACATCAGCGTCCCAGTGAAGGTCTCCACGTGGTGCTGGAGACGTTGGTGCCCCCATGAGGACTCTGGGCACATCAGCGTCCCAGTGAAGGTCTCCACGTGGTGCTGGAGACGTTGGTGCCCCCATGAGGACTCTGGGCACATCAGCGTCCCAGTGAAGGTCTCCACGTGGTGCTGGAGACGTTGGTGCCCCCATGAGGACTCTGGGCACATCAGCGTCCCAGTGAAGGTCTCCACGTGGTGCTGGAGACGTTGGTGCCCCCATGAGGACTCTGGGCACATCAGCGTCCCAGTGAAGGTCTCCACGTGGTGCTGGAGACGTTGGTGCCCCCATGAGGACTCTGGGCACATCAGCGTCCCAGTGAAGGTCTCCACGTGGTGCTGGAGACGTTGGTGCCCCCATGAGGACTCTGGGCACATCAGCGTCCCAGTGAAGGTCTCCACGTGGTGCTGGAGACGTTGGTGCCCCCATGAGGACTCTGGGCACATCAGCGTCCCAGTGAAGGTCTCCACGTGGTGCTGGAGACGTTGGTGCCCCCATGAGGACTCTGGGCACATCAGCGTCCCAGTGAAGGTCTCCACGTGGTGCTGGAGACGTTGGTGCCCCCATGAGGACTCTGGGCACATCAGCGTCCCAGTGAAGGTCTCCACGTGGTGCTGGAGACGTTGGTGCCCCCATGAGGACTCTGGGCACATCAAGCCTGGCCCGCCTCGGCGACGTCAATGGGGACGGGCGGGCTGACGTGGCCGTAGGTGCCCCACTGGAGGACGAGGAGCAGGGAGCCGTCTACGTGTTCCTCGGGGTGCAGGGCGGCCTCAGCACCCAGTACAGCCAGGTGAGAGCCCATCACCCCAGGTGACAGATGTTCCGAGTGATGGAGATGTCCTGGGTCACAGCAACATGCTGGGTGGTGGAGACGTCCCAGGTTGTAGTAATGTTCAGGGTGATGGAGATGTCCCAGGTGATGGAGACATCCCAGGTGACAGAGATGATCTGGGTGACGGAGACATCCCAGAAGATGGAGATATCCCGGGGTCAGAGACATCTCGGGTGAGGGAGATGACATGGGTGATGGAGACCCTTTGACAAGAGATGTCCTCGGTAACGCAGCGGTCCTGAGTGACAAAATGTCCAGGGTGAGGGAGATGCCCTGGGGGATGGAGACATCCTGGGTCATAGCAATGTCCTGGGTGACAGAGACAACCCGAGTGACAGAGAAGCCCTGGACGATGGAGATATGCTGGGTGCTGGAGATGCCCTGGGCGGTAGAGACGCCCTGCGTGGTGGAGATGGCCTGGGTGCTGGAGATGCCCTGGGTGGTGGAGATGGCCTGGGTGCTGGAAACGCCCTGGGTGCTGGAGATGGCCCAGGTGGTGGAGATACTTTGGGCGATGGAGGTTCCTCGATGGAGAGACTCCCTCTACCCCGTACCCTGCACCCGGGGCCCGGCCGTGGGGCTGAGGCCACATCTCCCTCACCTTCCCCGCAGCGCATCGCCGGCCCC